GGGAAGAGATTGGACAATAATCTTGCACCTATGGATGAGGACAGTGGGTGGGGAGTGAGGGCGGAGGGTGGGGTGGGAACTGGGTGGAGGGGAGTTATGGTGGGAAAAAAGAGGAACCAATGTAATAATCTGAACAATAAAGACTTAATTAAAAAAAAAAAGACAGGAAGAAGGGAAAACAGATAACAACAATGTGGACTGGTGCCAGGGTCTCCAGTTTCAATCCCCTGACATCTGGATTCTCTCTTCTATGCCACTGAAGCTGCTCTTTCCAATGTCACCAGAGAGTTTCATGTTGCTAAACTACAGGGACACTTCAGTCCTTATCTTATTCGTCCTCTTCTCTATATTGACCACTTCCTCATCCTTGAAATTCTCTTCTCCTAGGGCTACCAAGACAGACACCTCTCATTCTCTTCCATCTCCTTGGATGCTCTTTCTCCATCTTCCTCAATAATTCATTTTCCCTCGTCAACCCCATAAATAGAACTGTTCCCAGGGTTCTGCCCTGGGTTTATTTCTCTATTTACAAATTTTTCTCAGATTATCTCTCACAACTTAAGGTTTCAGTAACTACTCAAATGACGATGGTGCACAAATCTGAATCTTGGGCATTGATGTACAGCTGATAACCCATTGGATGTTGCCACCAGCATGCCCCTCAGGGACCTTAAACCCACCACATCAAAAACTGAACTCTGTTCTATAACCTGAGCTCCCCTTTCTCTTCACTAAGACATTATATACCCTGTGTGAAATAGCAGAATCTATATTAAGACCAGCAGATACCACCTCTCCCCTGGATAGAAAAGGAAACTTGAACAGTACTTATTATTACAAATTTAAGATGCATTAAAATGTTCCAATCATTCTTTTCATTCAGCAAGTTGGTGAACGTAATGCAATAGTGCCCTTTAAGTCCTGAGTTGCTCAACTGTGGTTTCTTCTCATACAGATGGTTTCGGGAGGAAATGCTGGGCCTTGGTCAGCTGCCCGTTTTGGGTTGGCGGTTGACCTGAGTCATGGAGTCTGGAGCAGAGTCTGGGTAAGCATTCAGACACAAATTCTGCTTTATTGCAGATATTAAGCTTTCTATGAGAAGAGGCAAGGTCACATGTAAAGCTAAAACTTGATGTCCTCTGAGGACGCTCCAGAAAGTACCGAGGTTTCTCAGTGTCATATCCTTTCCTGAACCACAGTTGACAGAAGATGGGGTTTGAAAGAGGCCAAAGCTGTAGTGGTAATAGAAGCTCTTCTCACCTCCCTAAGTTGTTGCGGCTCATATTCCTTGACTGACAAGGCCTAGGACATCTTATGTGCTTTTCTTTCACTTGTTCATTCATCATTATTTTCAACTCCTCTCTGGAAAAGAATAAACAAAAATTCACATCTCTCGGCAGTTTATCGCAGAATTGAAACCTTAGAAATGGAAAACATGAATCTGGCAAAGTGAAGCTGGGTTCCCAATACCATTGTGCAAAACTAGCTCGCTTTTTCCTCTAACACACATGTATGCTCTCACCAGCCTAATATCCCATCCATTATTACTTCTCTGTGCCTCGTTCATGCTAATCCCTCTACCTAGGAAACTTTACCTTACTTGTTTGGCAAACTCTTATTCATTGGTTAAGTCCTTGATGAAGTGTCACCTCTCCTGGGAACAGCAACATTTACCTCTACCTGCTGGATTGCTTATTATTTGGTCCCCACAGTGACTTATGCGTGCTCTAAAAGAGCACTTACTGTAACTAGTTAGTTGTTTCTAATACCTCCACATAACTGTGTGCAATGGAGAGGGGATATTTGTATCTCACTGCCTATCATTAGCTAATAAACCCTAACACAGTGTAGATCCTCAAAATACATGTTGATTGAAAAAATGAATCAAGGAATGCAATCAACAAAGGAAACATGGGTGTACCTCCACCCTATACTTCAGTCCATTCAGTGTTGGAGCCAGGAACCTATTTGGGAAGCACATGGTGGGACTAGGTTTTCTGCCTTCCCCAACTTCATTATTCCCTCCACCCCTCTGAATGAAGAAGTTTGAAATACCACCTTTTTCCAAATTTATTTGTAAAATACAAGACTCCTCACTGGTTTTTATCTCCAGCTTCTTTAAGTACAGCACCTTTGACAGAGCAATACCAGGAGGCAGACAGGAAAACAAGGTGCACATTGTAATTATTGTCCAAATCACTAGCCACATCTCTTAAGCTGTTAATGGAACTGTGTGGTCCCTACTCCTGTTCTGCAGAGGTCAAGGTCTATCAGCAGAATTCTTTCCGGAACAGCTGTGTGTGGTGCTTTGCACAAAGTAGTCAATAGAAAATGGATGCTATAACCATATGTAACCAGGACAGAGAGGCGGGCCAGGAGGAGATGCTGGGAAATCTTGACTCAGCAGAAGCCCCAACCAAGGGATTTTACCATGAACCCTGGGATCTTTGGCATACATTTCTCAGTCATACAAGATCTAGAATATTTAATTCAAGGCTGCCAGTTTAGAGAAATACATTGCACTAGAAACTCACCTCAACATAGCTTACGCCCAAAAAGAGGAATATAGTCATGAAAACAAACCAAGATTGGCTTCAGGGACTGATACACTGTCAGATCATGCTCTCCTCTGTTCTCAATGCCGAGTTTGTGTTGGTTCATTCTCTTCTCCTACAGACAGGCTTTTCTAAGCAGCGGGAAGCTTGGCTTCCCCATCTTTGCCAACATAGCAATTGGAGCATATGCAAGATTCCAGGAAAAACTCAGTTTGGCCCCGCCCAGATCACATAGGTGCCTCTGTATTCAAGGGAATGGTCCCAGAAATCTGGGGGAGCAGAGGCATGATCACTGGACAAATCTTTACCAGACAGGTGATTTGTATTGACTGCATATGTTAATAACAAGATATTTTTATTTTTTATTTTTATTTTTTTTAATATATTTTATTGATTTTTTACAGAGAGGAAGGGAGAGGAATAGAGTCAGAAACATCGATGAGAGAGAAACATCGATCAGCTGCCTCCTGGACATCTCCTACTGAGGATGTGCCCGCAACCCAGGTACATGCCCTTGACCGGAATCGAACCTGGGACCTTTCAGTCCGCAGGCTGACGCTCTATCCACTGAGCCAAACCGGTTTCGGCAATAACAAGATATTTTTAAAGTTTTTATTACAAAATGGACTCATTGGGTAAAATGTAGAAAGTTCAGAAAAGAAAAAAATCCCATAATCCCACCAAATGATAGCCATTGTTAGCCTTCCATTCTCGTTTAATGCTTTATTTTTTTTTTTCAATCTTCATCCCAAAATATATTTTTCCATTGATTTTTTAGAAAGAGTGAAAGGGCCGAAACCGGTTTGGCTCAGTGGATAGAGCATCGGCCTGCGGACTGAAAGGTCCCAGGTTCGATTCCGGTCAAGGGCATGTACCTGGGTTGCGGGCACATCCCCAGTAGGAGATGTGCAGGAGGCAGCTGATCAATGTTTCTCTCTCATCGATGTTTCTAACTCTCTATCTCTCTCCCTTCCTCTCTGTAAAAAATCAATAAAATATATTTAAAATAAAAAAAAAAAGAAAGAGTGAAAGGGAGGGAGGAGTGAAGGGAGAGAAACATTACTGTGAGATACACTGACTGGTTGCCTCCTGCACATGCCCCAACTGGGGCCGGGGATCAAACCTGCAACCAAGGTACATGCCCTTGACCAGGAATTGAACCTGCAACCCTTCACTTTGTCAATTGAATGCTCTAAACACTGAGCAACTGGCCAGGGCTTGTTTAATGCTTTAAAAAAATAAATCCTGTATATACAATTTTACTGAGTTTTTCACTTTTACATTATAACACATGCATTTCTCCGTCATAAAAGCTCCTGCAACATTGCTTTATATAGCTATACAGTGCACGCTGAAAACTTTTTAACGACCTCATTCAGAAGGAAAGAAGGTAGTGGAGTGAGATGGTATTTTCAATTCATGGGACTCAATCCCAGAGAAGAGGCCATCAGACTGGAATTCTCCTCCCCCATTTCCTGCATTCCTTCAAACACTTCCAAACTTGTCTCATCCACACTCACTCTTCCTCTGCTCCAGACTCAGAGGGCTTGCTATGAATTTGGTTAGTGGTTCAGCCAAACACTTTAGGCTTGAATCCTGACATTTTGCAGCTATGTAATCTGGGAAATGTCTTACCTTCCTAAAAATATCATGTGCACAGTGGGGATTTTGACATAGTTCTTAAAAGGATTAAATAACATCTACACTAATAAGACAAATATGTTAATTGACCATAACTTCGCTACGCCTGAAGCCACGCCCACCAGCCAATCAGAGCGACTATATGCAAATTAACTGAACCAAGATGGCACCCGGCAGCCACGGAGCTGGAGCAAGCAGGAGGCTTGGTTGACCCGGGCGATGGAGGAAGCCAAGCTTCCAGCCTGCCCTGAGCAGGCTGTGGCCTCCACTCATGGAAACAAAGTTTCAATTATAGAAGACAAATAAATCCCAGATACCTGCTTCTAGCCAGCCTCCACTGGGAGCTTGGGTGGCTGGGGGTCGTGGCCAGCCTGAAAATAGCCATCAGCCCCTCACCCAGGATGGCCACACCCTCATGGGTTGAGGGTCCCTCCTGGGGGATTGGCCAGCCTGAAAACAGCCATCAGCCCCTCACCCAGGATGGCCACCCCCTCATGGGGTGAGGGTCCCCGCCAGCCTGAAAACGGCCCTCAGCCCCTCACCCAGACTGGCAGGCACCCCAGCAGGCCCCCCCACACTGAAGGGGCTGGGGCCAGCCTGCAAACAGCCATCAGCCCCTCACCCAGGCTAGCCTGACACACCTATATAAAAGGATAATATGCAAATTGACCCTAACAGCAGAATGACTGGTCACTATGACACACACTGACCACCAGGGGGCAGATGCTCAATGCAGGAGTTGCCCCCTAGTGGTCAGTGCACTCCCACAGGGGGAGCTCTGCTTAGCCACAAGCCAGGCTGATGGCTGCCAGTACAGTGGTGGTGGTGGGAGCCTCTCCTGCCTCCTCAGCAGCGCTAAGGATGTCCAACTGCAGCTTAGGCCTGCTCCCCGCTGGCAAGGGGACATCCCCCGAGGGTTTCCGGGCTGCCAGAGGAATGTCTGACTGCCAGCTTAGGCCCAATCCCCCAGGGAGTGGGCCTAAGCCAGCAGGTGGTCATCCCCCGAGGGGTCCCAGACTGCGAGAGGGCACAGGCTGGGCTGAGGGACCCCCTCGAGTGCACAAATTTTTGTGCACTGGGCCTCTAGTTATGTATATAAAACACTCAGCACATAATAGGTGACCAATAAGTGTTAATTAAAAAAAAAAAATTCCCCTTGCTATAGCTCTCCTCCCTTGCCCTTTTCAGCCATGTTTCTTGAAAAATGACCTTTACTATTTGGTAATCTCCCCTTTGCACTGCAACTCAGTATAATCTGGCTTTTATTCCTGACATTGCTCACCAAAGATCTCCTAAAACACACTAGATGTGTTCATGGAGCTTCGAGTCATTTCTTAATCTTTTGTGTATATAGTCAATCAATTTCTCCTGGTTTCCATGACACCAGAGTCTTCCCAATTTTCTTAATTCTCATTCCTTTTTATTCTTCTTTGCTACCTAAATTCTACTGATTAGTATCTGTCCTCAACTTTTGAGTGTCTGGAAAATGCATGATTCTTTCTTATGAGATTGGAGTTAGAATTCTGGCTCTCCTACTTACCAAACTGAGTTCCCAAGTTATTTAACTCACCTGAACCTCCATAGTCTCAACTATGAAAAGGTGACTCCTCTCCTGGACAAACATCTTAAATGGAGTCACTGTACACTGAACCTGACCTTCTCTTTGGCGTAAAGGACTAGTAGGCATAAACTGGAATTCCAGGCTGGAAACCCATTTCATAGCATAAGTATGTCAAAACTCAAACAAATCATATACTCTCCATATTTATTAACAGTATAAAACTAACAATATGAGCTGTATTATACATGTTCCTTTGAGGTATTTTTCTTCATGGTCTGGACTGGCTGAGGTTTCTTAGACTCTTAGTTTAATGAAGTTTGGACAGAATATGCCATCTTTTCCTGGTAAATCTTCCCAAGATATTACTCCTTACTCCAGAGACCTTTGAACTGCATTGAAAATTAATGTCATCTGCCACAAAGGAAAAAAATAGTTCAATGATGTTCAGGTAAATGCCTCTCAAAGTTTTTCAAAGCTAAATGTTGGACAATTTCAATTATGTCTTACTTTTCCATTTTTATAAAAATACACTTTGTTGAGCTCCTGAGAAATTTCTAACAATACAACCAGGTTTGCAGGAGAAACTTCTAGATCCACTCACTCTGTAATGTCAATCAGTTTCAGTGATGCTTTTTACAGTAATACAAATGCCTTCAAAATACTGAATGAGGCAGTTTCTTCCAAATTCCTAGTTTCAGGCTTCACTTACAATTTTCACAATACCCAAAACATTTCCAAAATTCCTTTTTGATCCATCCTCCTTGATTGCTTTGACTTTTAAAAATTTCACAATAAAAATACCTTAAGGATGCAACAACTTATTTGATCTGTTGGCTAAAGTCAATGAGATGCTTTGTGGAGATAAATGGAGAGGAAGCAAAACAAATGTCAGGATACTGCTGCTTAAGAATTCGGAGACGGCTTGAAGCATTGGCCAAACCCAGCTGTTATCAATTTTTTAAATGCCATTATTTCTTGCCCTGTGGAATGAAGTAGAGTGAAAATCAAAGCTTGAGGATTGCTTCTTCAAAAGACATTAGTTCATTAATTAAAGGGGACTGCTTTGGATTCTTGGCAAATTAAAAGGTAAGGCACTAGTTTTAATTTGCAGTCAACTGTAATATGTGATTCCTTCTACCCAACTGCACAGTCGATACTTAAAAATTATCTCAAAAAGTAACAGGCCTTGCCCTAACCAGTTTGGCTCAGTGGATAGAGCGTCAGCCTGCGAACTGAAAGGTCCCAGGTTCAATTCCGGTCAAGGGCATGTACCTTGGTTGCAGGCACATCCCCAGTAGGAGATGTGTAGGAGGCAGCTGATCGATGTTTCTCTCTCATCGA